TTATATCTATAAGTAAATCTTAAATTCATATACTTACGAATTACATGCTGTAACTAATAGTTTTTTTATATTCCTACACCAACTGAAATTGCGTAACTATAGTGTAATTTTTCCTACGGTTTTTTTGTGAATGTAGCTATAACTTATCCATATACCTACAAATTATAAATCATAGCTAATAGAACCTTATACCTATGAAATAGTGAGCGTAGGTAAAAAAAAGCGTAGCTAAATGGCAAAAATGCTGTAGTGCTCCCAATCGAGTCACCTATAAATGCAAGGCGCCTGTTTCTCAGCTTTTCCAACATCTTTGTTGCATTAAATCTGTCATCACAACACAACTTAGCCTCAGATATGATATTCCCTCAACAATCAAATTGTCTTTTACATAAATTTACCTCAAACAAACAAATAAAGAATGGAATGGAGTCTCTACTTTGGAGATGAAAGAAGAAAGAAAAGAAAGAAAGAAAGAGCAACCTGGGCAAATTGCAACCTTTTGGTTGCCAACGCCACTTGGTGTAGAAACTATCAGGCCTTCCATTTTCCAGACACCGGAAACCAGCATCTACAAAGGGACAATCTTGGCTCTGGTACAGCGGATAGTCATCATCCCAAACCCACTTCCCATCATACACATCACAACCATCCCCACCTTCATCAAGAAATCCCACCTGTCCATTCACATCCATAGCTGCCGTCGGTGGTGGTGCTACTGCCGCATCCGGTGATACCGACAACAAAGACGGTGATGATCCACCACCGCCGAATCCTCCTAGCCATGGAACCCCAAGGGAGCGGACAGAACGGTAGTCCCAGTAGAATAAGCAACCAATGAAGAGGATAGTGACCAAAACGAAACCAACAACACCCACAAACGACTCAAGAGGGCTAAAGCTCTTTACTTTCTTGGGAAAATCCAAATGGGTAATCGAGTTCATGTCTTATGTGTAGCCGTGCCCTTCGTCTTTCGAATGAAAATACCAATCCGAAAAGATGTGCACAGGTACAGTACAGCCAAAGAATGGCGTCAAAGGAGGATATTTAGAGAAAAAGAGGTGGGATCTGCCATTAATGGCTGAAGCAGAACTCCATGAATTTTTCAAGTGTTTTATTAGGGAAGAAAGTGGAATTAGTCAAAAACAAAGTCGACGGTTGGCTTCCGGAATGGGTTTGAGCCTTTGAGGGTAGAAGAAAATTAATTGTTGCTCAATGAGGAGGGTAACAGGTCTAAGCAACAAGATATTATTGAATCATTCAAGCAATCAATATTATTGAACCATTCGAGCAATCGATACCTTTCTGCAGTTTAGTTGATTGAAAAAGAAAAGATAGAGAAAATGCAGTTCTCAAATGTTGAAACTTTCTAGCTAGGAAGAAAATGGGTAAGGTTTAGAAATGGTCGCAAATGAAAGAATTCTTGTACTGCTGGAGTTCTAATTGTACCCAAAGAGTACGGAAAACCGGAAAAAGGAAGGTAAGAAAAAGAGGGAAAGGAAAGGGTCGTTGTGTTGCGAGCCAAAATTTGAAGGTTGTGCTGTTTACACGTGTGGCTTGACGTTCCAAAGAGTAAGAATATAAAAAGGTTTTTTTTTTTTTTTTAAGGGTGTGTTATTCTATGTCTAGTATTAATTGGATTTTTTTTAATTAATTTGAATAGAGAAATATAAAAATTAATTTTATTTTTAATATTAATGATATATGTATATTTTATTTAAATAATTAAATAATTTTAATAAAATAATTAATAAATTAAAGTTAATTTTTATTTTTGATAATAATTAATAATAATAATATATAATTAATACATTATTTGGGCAACAAGGTCAGTGTTTCAAATGATTTTCATGACATGTTTTTTATGGATGGATACCAAACTCAGTCTCCTACTTTTTAAGCCTAATTCTAATCCAAATGAAATGTTTAAGATAATATATAATATTTATAATAAAGTTTGATCATTAAATTTGGTGTTTATTCGTTTTCATTAGATCGAGAAAAAATGAGAGTAGCATTATACAGAAACTGATTTTAAAATATTCTAATCATTAAACAAAAAGTTAACAACAATTGAAAAACATCAATTTGTATATTATTAAGGAAATAAAATCCTAAGTTAATTATGATTGTATTTCCTTAACTAGAAATTCATATATTATAGAATTTAAGTATTATCCTATATGTTTTGTTTAATATGATTGTAACTTTTTGTTTTTATTTTATCATGATTATAAGATAAATAAGAACAAAAAAAAACCACATCCATACTAAATAGATTCTTATTTTAAAATTTAAACTTTAAATATGATTTATTAAATAATACTTATTTAATAATAAATTCATCTCTTGTGGTTAGTCTTAGATCAATTATAATTATTCATTTCAAAAATTCAAATAAATGGTTTTACACTCAAATTTAAATTCAGCATGACTGATTAGAATTAGTATAGAACTTATGAATAACATAATATCTCTTACATTGATTGTAAAATAATTTTTAAATAAGTACTTATTTTTAAGAGATAAGTAGATAAAAAGTTTTGAGTTCAAGTAATATAGTATGTGAATAAAATAAGATAAAAAATAAAAAATAATTATTTTTTATTATATAATAAATAAATAAATAAATAAAAGATAGATACATTGAGGAACACCTTCAGGCAAATCGGCCACAACTCTGACATGTAGAAGACTTTCTAATGACGGGTTCGAAGTTGGGCCTACTTGTGTAGCCCCCACAATATTTAGCTGATCTGATGTCAGCGCCACTGCCGCCTCTCCAAATATGGTTGAAAACTTGAAATGGTTCAGTCTCTTCCCAATTTGGGAAGGCGAGGATGCCACCGTACATCATGTTATGAGCATATCAATCATGGTAAAAGTATTGGATTTGAAGGATATTTTATGAATTAATTTGTAATTTTTTTAAAAAAAATAATTCGTTGGAAGTAAAGAGGGGTTGTATCAATTAAAAATAATAATAAATATAATTCACTTATTATATTATAAGTTTATAATTATGATTGTTATTTTATATTTAGTTTTTTTATTTAAAAATTTATTGGTGATATTATGTGTATTTAATTTTATTTATATTATATTTAACTTAAAGAGAATAAAGGAAAGAAGAAAAAAAAATTTAATCAATTAAATTATAATATTTAAAAACGTTATAATTTAATTAATTAAAAATCTCTCTCCCCTTTCCATTATTTTCAACCTAAACAT